ATATTTGATTTATTGAGAAATGTACGCCTTTTGAGGTGATTTTTTTGAGTTTAACATTTTACTCTGATAAATGTGAATATTTTGCCATTATAATTGTGGGGTAGAAAAAGGGTGTTACAAGTTTAATATTGAACACATATTTATTTACACATAACTTTCAACACATAAATTTTGACACAAACTCATAACAGATGTATAACCCGATACATATGTTTCAAAAAATACATAAAGTGATACATAAACTGGTTCCATAACGTGACAACAATTCCAAAAAGCCCAAAATACATAAACTGGTTCCAAATAGCACCAAACTGATAATATGTTCCAAACTGATAAACCGGTTCCTAATTAAACATGACAACAGTTCCAAAAAAACACAAAATACATAAACTGATAGCATAATTATATCTAGAGGTTCTTCTTTGACATGGTCCTCTTAGTTGGAGTATTCCTCCTTGTTACTGGGCCAACAACATTCTTAGCATCACTCAACCTAGTTGTAGGCCCAGGTGGTAGAAAGGTCTTGTTGCCTTTCTAACAAGCAGCTTTTGTGTTTTGCCCTTATCAGGTCCATGAGTCTTCTGGGTATCCTTTCCCTTAGAAGTTTGAGATGCTTGGCTTGATTGTTAAGTAACCTTTCCCTTAGAAGTCTGAGATTATTGGCCTGATTGTTGAGTAGCCTATATTGGAGTTTGAGATGGTTGGCCTGATTGTTGAGTAGCGTGTTTTGGAGTCTGAGATGGTTGGCCTAATTGTTGAGCAGCATGTGTTGGAGTTTGAGATGGTTGGCTTGATTGTTGAGCAACTTGTGTTGTTGTGACCTTACAAGTAGACTTGTAGTGTCCTGCTTTCTTACACATACTACACTTCACCATGAAACTTGTTCTTCTCATTTTGTGATCAGACCCGTCAATTTCTCCTTGTTCAAGATTCCTCCTATTTTTTGGTCTACTAGGTATCTTCTATACTTAGGTGGTTGCACATGCTTATAAACTGACTAGTACCATGAAACCCTATAATACTATGGAATGTAACAATCAGTTTCGAAGTTTCTACTCTTTATAGCTGACAATGCATGAACATATGAGAGTCCTGTGAGTTCCCATCTTCTGCATGAACATATATGATCTTTCAAGTTTACAACAAATTTATCAGCTTGGTTTTCCAAGTGCCTTACTTCAAATATATGTTCATCAGACATCCTAATGTAATAAACAAAGAGAATATATTAGTCATACAATGTTTGCAAATAAGTAATAATGTATGCTGATGTTACATACCTTACAAGCTAGTTGTTGGTGTATGTGCTTGTGACATCAATTTTCTTTCTAATATTAGGCAATATATCATTGTCATCCAAAGTACCAAATCTCATTTTGTTAGTTGCCCATCTCTCCATCATGTATATTTTGATGTCTTCCAATATAGTGATTAGTGGTTTTGTCCTTGCATTAAGAATGACACTATTAAAGAATTCAGACATGTTGTTGAGAACAACATCACATTTGTTTGTGGTTTTAAATTAAGATCTACTCCAAAACCTTGGTGGGGTTTTCATCATGTGTTTAAATGCTTCTTCTTTGATGACCCCCATTCCCTTCATCTCTCTTTCCCATGTTTGTGGGTATGTTGACTTGGAAGCCTTCCATATTATGTCCTTCAACATCTTTCCAGGAAACCTTTTCCTAAAATTGTTATAGAGATACCTAACACAAAACCCGTGCTCCACACTTGACAATAGCTTATCCATAGTAGATAGCAGACCCTGCAAGAGAGAAAATAATAGTATAACATACTTTGTTTACAAAACAGAAAAATAAAATAGCATAACAATAATTGAATACTTACCTTTTGTTGGTCTGAAATGAATGTGTATGTTAGGCATTGATCTTTTCCTCCAATTTCATCAACTAAGAGCTCTAAAAACCAAGTCCAACTATCCTTGTTTTCACCCTCCACAACTGCATATGCTATGGGAAACATCTGGTCATTAGGATCCCTCCCTATGGCAGTCAGAATTTGCCCTCCACACATCCCTTTTAGAAAGCACCCATCGAGACCTATTACATGTCTACACAACCTAAAGCTTTCCTTACAGGTAGCATAGTGTCATACCTAAATAGCTTCACCGGATGATTTGAGCAGCGAAGGCTCGAGAAATCATGGTAAAAGGGATTTAAATACATAGCATATGTAAAGCCTTCTAAAATATGGCTTGTGATCCTCAACACCTTCTTGTACAATATCAACATTGATCTTAACTGTTGACCCTGGATTGGCTCTTAACAATTCATGACAATAGTCATAGACTCTTGTGTAATATCCCAAAAAAGAACCATCAACATAGTCTCTAACTGCAAATCATGCTCTTATTACTTTGGTTTTGTTGACCTTAATATTCCATTTTTTTGTGCCTTCTCTTTGATATCCTTTATGGTCATCCTTGGATTCTTTTTCAAGCTATTCTGAATTCTTTTGCTCAACCACTTTGTACTCATCAATTTCACATTATACTCTCTACTACAACTGTGTTTGTCAATTACTTTTATGAGTTTCCAAGAGTCTTCATTTGTCAACTTGTTATAATAAGCTTCCCACTCATAACCAACTTCACATCTAACCTCTACCCTAACTCTGTCATTTTTTACAAACCTCAGATCTCTACCATTTTGCACAACATATAATTATTACTTCCTTAAAATCACCCTTTGAACTAAAAAACATTCTCATATCCCACTTGTAATTTGACATGTCCTTTGGTTGCCTGAAAATTGGATGCTTTTTTCTTAGAATTCCACTATTATCATCACTATCACATTCACTTTGCATGTCTTCACTGTCATTGTCACTCCCTTTATCTTCTACAAACTTTTCTTTATGTTTTTATTTTTTATTTTTCCATTACCCTCACTTTCATACCCAATTAGGTTAGCAAATTCATATTCCTCAATGTCATCATACCCATCAGACTCATCCTTAAAAGCTACTTCAAGAGCACTATCATAATTGTAGTCTTCATCTTCACTATCATAAGAACTTAAGTCATCATTCATTACAACAATTTTACCTTGTTCAACTCCAGAATTAACTTTTTCGACTCCAACATTACATTCCTCCACTACAGGATTAACTTGTTCAACTCCAACATTAACTTCTTAACTCTAACATTACATTCCTCCACTGCAGGATTAACTTGTTCAACTCCAACATTACCTTCCTCCAACCCAACAGTGGCTTGTTCAAATCCAACATTACATTCCTCCAACCCAACAATGGCTTGTTCAACTCCAACGACTTCATCATGCAGTTTACTAAGTAACTCCTCCACCTCATCTACAATTTCAGCAGACCCCTCATCAACATTATCAACAACAACATCATAGTAGTCAGATTGCGACAAAGTGTGTTGAATATAAATATCAACACTTTGGTGCACCATATAAAGATCTGTAATTTCTAAAGCATCCCTGTCATCAACAAGTGCATTCATCCCTAATTGAGGGTCCTTGTAATATATTGTCTCAAACTCCCTATAACCCAAGTCTTTCAACACACCAACTAGCTCAAAATAACTCCTTTTGTCGACATCTACTATCAAATCATCAACTACTCCATCTTCATATACACTAAGTCCTTCATCAATGAATTCACCACTATGATGAATTTTGAGATTTATGTATTCATCCATTATACCTATTCATATAACATAAATATTTAGAGTTTACACTAAAACAATTACATAAACTCTAAAACTGAACAAAACCACATATTACTCTAACACATTCGTAAACGCTAAATCAGATTGAAATTTACTAACCTTTTGATAAACGCGTCTTGAATTGTCTTCAATCTGTCACGCCGTTGATGAAACAACTCTATGCGCCTTCAATCCGTCACGCCGTTGATGAAACAACTCTATGCGCCTTCAATCCGTCACGGCTTCACTAAGATTTGTCCCTTCAATTCTCCATCGCAGCATCAAGATCCTATCTTCGTCGTTTGAGTGTTTGGGTTATTGAAGACAGGGATACACTTGGATTTGTATTACTACATGTTATATCCACGTCAACAACATAAAAGCCACATTGACAAACGTGACACCAATTTATAGCTTTGACTAACGACAACAGACAAAATAATAAACGAGACACAATTTTAAAAATTAAAAAGAAAAAAAAGGTATTTTGAAAGAAGAAAAAAAATTCATAACTTATCATATGAAGAAATAAACATTCGTCCCCTTACAACATTGAGCCCCTGTCAATAAATAAAGTACTCAACATAAATTCACATATATCAAATAATTTACCATTATTAAATTAAATTGAATATATGTTTACACTCTTTTGAAATTTTTTTTATAAAAAGGCTTTTGGAAAAATGACAAACATTGAAAAGAAATTAAAAATTTCTTTTATAGAAAAAAAAAATCTGGTTTCGTTTCGTTCAAAGTGTCTCCTTCATCAGTATGACTGTAACCCAACTAAAACCCTAAAAACTAAAAATCACATCTCCCTTCCATTCCATCAATTCTCTGCGCGGGCGACTCACCCGTTCTCCGAGCATCATTAGTGATTCAGTTCCTCTCTCCCTACTGTAAGTTCCTTGTGCGCTTCTTTAGCCTTTGATTCCGTTACCATTTTTTCACCACTGTTTCATGCTTGTTGATTTAAGTTTTGCTTTGCTCGTTACGTAGCTTTCTGATTTTAGTCCCACTGTTGCTTTGCGCGGGCTTTGTATTTTCAACCATTTATCATGATTTCCCCTTTTTCTTAATGTTCAATGATATTCTCGCCAACTCCCTGACTCTTATAAGCTGTTAATTTTATTTGTGAATATCCAACAAACTATCTGTTCTGTGTCCATGATGGGTTTTCTGCTGGTACCCACGGGTACAGAGTTACTTTTTCCAAAAGTAACTATTTGTGGCTTTTGCTGATAGTAAGCAAGAGGCAAAATCTTCAACAGTTGATTTCTTTTGGTGTTTGCAGTTGTCGAGGATGGCGGCTGCAATGGTAGCGGAGGCGAGAAAGGCGCCACGACCGGGGAAGGGAGGCTTTGAAGGCCATGGCCTCACTGAAGAGGAAGCGCGCGTGCGAGCCATTGCAGAAATTGTGAATTCCATGGTCGACCTATCTCATAAAGGCCACAAAGTGGATCTCAATGCTCTCAAGTCCGCCGCGTGCCGTAAGTACGGCCTCTCACGTGCCCCCAAACTTGTCGAGATGATTGCCGCTCTACCTGACTCTGAACGAGAGGTTCTCCTTCCTAAACTTCGAGCCAAACCCGTCCGAACTGCATCCGGAATCGCCGTTGTCGCCGTCATGTCGAAGCCTCACCGTTGCCCTCATATTGCCACCACTGGTAACATTTGTGTCTACTGTCCTGGTGGTCCTGACTCAGATTTTGAATACAGTACTCAGTCTTACACAGGTTATGAACCTACTAGTATGCGCGCAATTCGAGCAAGGTAAGTTTTCCTTTCATTTTCTTTGAGAAATTAAAATGCAATTTCTTAAATGAAATTATTCTACACATGTTAATTTGATGATTTTTTTTTTTCTTTTTTGCTTTGGATTTAGGTATAACCCTTATGTTCAGACAAGAGGTAGGATAGATCAGCTTAAGCGTTTAGGTCACAGTGTAGACAAGGTTTGGAGCTCTATTATTGTATATTGAGCGATTAAAATGCATGAAGTTACCGTGTGATTGTAATTTCTTTGTGTGTGTGATTTTCTGTTTTTCAGGTTGAGTTTATATTGATGGGTGGAACTTTCATGTCTCTTCCGGCGGATTATCGTGATTACTTTATAAGGAATCTTCATGATGCTTTGTCGGGACACACTTCTGCCAATGTAGAGGAGGCCGTAACGTACTCTGAGCATAGTGCAACCAAGTGTATTGGCATGACAATTGAAACGTAAGTTGCTTGCCAGTTAATAATTTGCATGTTGCAACAAATGTTAAATTTTGAGTCTTTGCGGTATAAAATTTTGAATAGAGTAGTGCTCTGGAGTTTTTGGTATTTGGGCACGCGGGGAGAACTCTTTTAGAAACTATTTTAGGGAAAATGGATCATATGGGGGGGTTATTTTTTAATCAGAATTAGAGAGAGACCAAGAAAAACTACAAATCAGCCTATTAAGATGGATTTTAGCTTAAATGATTTGTCATTAGACGTGTTTCATAGGTAGACATTACAGTACCATTTGATTCATGTCACTGAACTCCTCTTATGAAAGCAGACTGTTTCTGTTCTTGTAATAAACTGGGTTAGTTATGATTTTCTAGGGTTTTAATGCATTTTTTGTTTGACCATGTCAATGATTATATAAGTGGAACTTTGAGTAAATGTTAAATAGTAATAGTTAATGCAACACACCAGTGAGAACCTTATCAAGTTTTGCATTAAATTTCTCAGGAGGCCAGATTATTGTCTTGGGCCTCACTTGCGACAGATGCTTTCTTATGGTTGTACACGATTGGAGATTGGAGTCCAAAGTACCTATGAGGATGTTGCTCGTGACACTAATAGAGGACATACTGTTGCGGCTGTAGCTGATTGTTTTTGCCTGGCTAAAGATGCCGGTTTCAAGGTTTGTGTCCATTGTTTCAATCTGTACCTTCAGTCACAGCTTTGTTCTGTCAAACTATTTTCCTATATACTCCGTATGCTGAATCCTTGTATTAAAAAATTGATATATGCATATTCCTACACTCAAATTTGTAATGAACTTAATAATAACCTTGTGTGCTATCTCATTATATTTGTCTAGGCAAGTACACACTTTAAATAGATTCATCTGCATAGTAAGCAACTTTCTATATTCAAATTACTCTCCAATGGTTTGGATTTCCTTAACTATATCCCATTAGAATACAAACTAGGCAGTAGATTGGGCATGAGAGTTATAAGGCATACTATTTGTTATTGTGTTTATGCTTTTCTTTTTTGGCTTTTGCTTTAGGTTGTTGCTCACATGATGCCTGATCTTCCAAATGTTGGTGTTGAAAGGGACATGGAAAGTTTCCGAGAGTTTTTTGAAAGTCCCAAATTTAGAGCCGATGGACTTAAAATATACCCAACTCTTGTGATACGGGGAACTGGGCTTTATGAGCTCTGGAAAACTGGCAGGTACCTATCAAATTTGATATATTCTCTCAAATGCTTCTTTCTCTAACTCTTTAATTTTTATCTCATTATTAATCTGGATTAAAAGGGCATGTGGATAGTCAATTTGTTTGTTAATATCATTGTAGATATAGAAATTATCCACCTGAGCAACTTGTGGACATCATAGCAAGGATCCTTGCAATGGTACCTCCATGGACACGTGTTTATAGAGTTCAGCGGGATATTCCGATGCCTTTGGTTACTTCTGGGGTTGAGAAAGGGAATCTAAGGGAGCTAGCATTAGCTAGAATGGAAGACTTGGGATTAAAATGTCGAGATGTTCGGACCAGAGAAGCTGGAATCCAGGTGATTATCTAGAGTCAGTCTCGTATGGGAATTTTATATAATGAAGATTTATGTTTCTTGAGACACTTTGTATACTAGTCTTTTTTTGGGGCATCAACCAACATTCTGTATTTCTTGTAGGATATTCATCACCAAATTAAGCCAGAAGAGGTTGAACTTGTTCGTCGTGATTATACAGCAAATGAAGGTTGGGAAACATTTCTGTCATATGAAGATACACGGCAGGTAATTTTACCCTTCTTCCCTCTGACTCTTGTTAGTGCCTATCCCTGTGTATTTCATCCTTTTGTGCTTTTAAGAGTTGTAAGACGCGAGCCTAGTTTGTTGCCGGCATTGTTCTTGTTGTGCATATTTTCCTCGTTTATTGCAAATCAAGGAGACATCCCTTAACCTGTTCTTATATTTAATTTGATTTATATTTTGTTGATGAAACATGGTCATGACTTTGGTTGTGCTGTCTGCTATTTAACAGGACATCCTCGTTGGCTTGTTGCGGCTGCGAAAGTGTGGCCGAAACACTACTTGTCCAGAGCTTATGGGAAAATGTTCTATCATTCGCGAGTTACATGTTTATGGAACTGCTGTACCAGTTCATGGAAGGGATTCTGACAAGCTACAACACCAGGTACTACTGTCATGCTAATACATCAATGGCATTCGGTATCAATAAGAGTCTTCACACGGTTTTATTGGATAAGACCATCTGAATTGAAGTACTGATTTTTGCTTAAGCTGCAGAGCCATTATTAGTGTATATAAAATTCTTTAGCCATATATAAAATATTGAAAAACATGTCCTTTTGTGTCCTATAATTGACCTAGTTTTGACGAAAATAATTGTTAACAGGGTTACGGTACGCTTCTTATGGAGGAGGCTGAACGGATTGCTTGGAAAGAACACAGATCAACTAAAATAGGTGTAATTTCTGGGGTTGGCACACGCCATTACTACAGAAAATTGGGATATGAACTTGAAGGGCCTTACATGGTGAAATATCTATTGTAATAATAATTAATCATAGTTATTTTCCATGTAGTTTTGTAGGCTGTGTTAGTGATGTGTTTTATATACCTCAAATTATATCTACGCCATTATTGAAAATTATGATACTGGTTTTGTAGTTTGCTCCAGTAAAATAGATTACCTTACATTCGCTTTCATGTGTGCAAATAGATTACCAATTTGTAAACTGAATCAAGGAATGACCAGACATTAAGTATCTAGGCTTTAAATTTTGTCTACAAACCATGAAAGGAATGACCAGAGATTAAGGAACCGACATGTTTACATATGATGTCTGCAAAAATGGTTCTACAGAGAGCATTCCTTTATACAGATCAAAGCTAATATAATTCATCAAAATTTAACAGATTATAAACAGGTATAAGCTTACAAATTTTCACATTTTTCAACAATCAGGATAGGATAATGAAATCCATCCAACTTTTTACTTCTGGTTTGGTGAAGCCATAGAACATATAGGTTTTTGAGTCCCGGGATATATACAGTTTTTCTGGTCAAATGACCCAAAACCAAGGTATAATAGACCCAACAGCCAAACCAAAAACTAAGAACAACACACTCACAATCCCTGCGGTCTCTGCATGCTGCAACTTTACAGTCTTAGGAGCCAATATCATCAATACACTAGTTAGATATCCATTTGTAAGTCCTAAAAGACAACTCAGGATTGTCACCGGAATCTCCGTCCGAAAGAATTTTGCCCAAGCATCCAAAGAAAAGAGGGAAAAACAACAATCTTGCTACACAACACCTCCTGCAATTTTCACATTCTCTAGTAGGTATACTGCAGTAAGACTTTTGCCAACACATTAAAGCAAGTAATCAAAAGAATCGGATACCAATCGTTAAGAACTTGAGAATGTACATCCTCTGTAATGTAACCAGGAAATATTGCAAGTGTCATAACGTAAATGAGCATGACGCCAAATCCATACCACTTGATTGTTCTTACAGTATCCCATACAGTTGACCTCCATACTGATCCGATCAAAGGACCGACGTCATCCTCGGCAGCAATCGCCTAAATCTTAAGTTCAATATAGTACTTCATAATGGGAAGTTTTTGTGCTACATTGTATAAAATTATGCATATTAACATAATCACAATTGATAGAAAAGTAGACATTTGCACTTTTCTGCATGCCTAATGCATCTTGTGTGTAAATAGCTTTTGTAAATTTCCTCAGGAAAGAAACAAGTATACCTGAGACAACATTTCCAACGATGACAGCCTGCGTGTATCTCTCTGACAACTCACCGACGGATCCAACAACAGAACCCTGCACCAAAGCATTAGCCATACCAGAAACTCCAACTGCCCCAACAGTAATATAGAATCCATTATTCAACCCAACCCGACCCTTAACATAAACAACATCAACAAAAGGAACAACCAGGAGAGAAGCGACAAACAAAGCAAGGCCAACATTGATCCTTACATAAGCATGAGATTTGTGTCCGTTAAGGATGATGAGGAAGAGACTATAAAGACTAACAATGTGGAAACTATAGCGAAAATGCGATCAACGCTTGCTTGAGGGTAAAGGTAAGAGAAGTAGTCAACTACTGTAATGAATGAGTTCCATGGAAATAAGTAACCGATTTCAAGTGTGAAGTAGATTATGTATGCTAAGTTCCATGTGTCTTATGGTGCTTTTTTCTTTTTACCTGAAGCTGAAGGTAGAAGAAGGGTTGATTCTATTATTTTGTTGTTGTTGTCGTGTTGTGGTGTCACCATGTTTGTATGAATGAAATCTTGTCATAGTTTTTCAATTGCGCCAACATCATATGTTTTTTGGGGTGAAGTATATCCTTCATATTATATTTGCAACTTGAAATATATGTTTGCATTTGAGTGTGTTTAGTTCTCTAAGAATTAATTTCTAGTAAGTTGATTTTATTGAATTTATTGTGGTTAAAAGAATAAGTTGAATGTTAAACGAGTTATGATTAAATATATTTAACAATAAATTTCAATCTAAAAATTATGTTGAAACTTAAAACTACAAATTTTAACTCTAGCTATAATTAATTTTAGAAAAAAATCAATTCTATTTTTAAGAAAACAAAGATGCCAAAATAAATTTTACACCACTAAAATTGTTTTTAACATTTCAAAATACAAATCAAAGATTCACTAAACTATATTCAATGGAATGTATTTAATTTAGATGGGTCTAGATGTAATATATTAGAGGAGTGTTATGTTTACAACAAAATATTTAGACCGTATATGTACACCGTAGCTCTTAGTTTCATTTTTAATGCAGCACAAATTTTAATTTTCATAAAAATAATAAATAAAATAAAATAAAATGTATAATATAAAAGTACGGTGTAGTGTTACTTTTAGATGTCACCATATCATTTCTCTATATATTATATTGGTATTTAAGTTGAGTATGCTTTCCTTTATGCTATATTCTATGTTATATTTTAGGACTAAGGGAGACATTTAGTAGTCTAAAAAACAAAATAGAGATCAAATGGGCGTTTGATCATAAGAAAATATCATAATGATATTGAACAAATGATATAAGATAAAAGTATCATTTCATCAACTATAAGCTCAATAGATGAGAACATTATAATGACGTCAATAAATGACATAAGATAAATGTATTGTTTACTGATTACATGCTCAATTTAAGATCTTAAGACCTCAAGAACAAGTGTGGATTTGTCCTTTTAAAACATTTGATTCAAACAAATGATTAAAGGACATAAACTATATTTTGTCACGTGTCCATTTAGACAACTATCTTGCATAAGAAGGTTTCAGGTGCTAAAATTTTTATAATTCACTTATAAAAAGAGAGATAATTGTCAAATCAAGGTACACACTTTATATGAAAATATTGAAATTGCAGTCATCGTCGGTATCACTTTTAGTTTTGATTGTTTGTCAATTTGCGTGTATAGTGTTTGATTTATTGTGCGTTTGTACTATTCTTCCTTTATGTGAATTTATTTGCATTGTTGTTGTAACTTTGTTATTATAAATGACTTGGAGTAATATGTTATATTAATAATTATTCGCTTTGGCTATTTCAGTCATTGTACCTTTAAGAAACCTCTTGATTCGTTGACTTAGCTGTTGTAGTCCATATTTGTGTCCCTTTTATCCTAGTAATTGGTTGTATGTCAAAATTATTAGTATTGCTTGAATCACAAGTTATAACACTTGAATCAAGATTGCAAGATTGTGTGATTTGAATCATACATATGTGTGAGTCAAATCATAGAGCATCATGAAAGGTGAAATTTGTTCTGCTTCATTTTAGTCGAATCATGGCAAGGCGTGATTCAAGTCACAACCTTCCTTAAGTCAAATCATGAAGTATACACGACTCAAATCATGGTATGTGTTCCCTATTTTCAACCTTTGATTCAAGATGATAAACTCTTTGATTCGAATCATTATTTAATGATTTGACAAAAAACCCTATGTCCAAGTAAGTTAAGAATAACATTCCCAAGAGAGTGTACTATCTACCCTATTACATCATTATTCATCTTTCTCCTTTTTATCATGAGTGTGTATAACCTAAGAGAGAAAAACTAAAAAAACGAGGAATCATAACTCTTGATTTGTTGTTATTGTTGTGTTCTTATTGAAGACCTAGAAACCCTGAGAAAGTGAATATGATTTGATCAATCAAGTGATGCGATTGATCAATCTTAGAACAACCACCTAAGAACTAAAAATCAATTTTCGCCAAGAACCTTGAAAGAACTTAGTTTTGTTCTTCACTCACTAACACCTAAATTCCTTATTGATACCTAATGATTAACCTCATAGAATGTGGATCATGTGAATGTTAGTTGTGTGTGTGAGATTCTTCAAATACTATTCATCATCTTCAAGATTTGGATCAATAATCATGATGGTCTTGTTGTGTAGCAGTTAAGTATTTGTATCAACATAAAGAATTGTCATTGTATTCGTGTGTAGACTAATATAATTTGGCTATTAGCATCAGAGTTGGTAATAGTTTGTTGTATCAAAATACTTGTATATTAACTCTTGTTATAATGAAAGATATAATTATTATTCCCAATGGTTTCAAACTGAAGACTGGAGTAAGCATAGCGAAGTCGATTGTCAAGCCACTATATATCTTATTATACTATATTCCTTCCCTATCTCACATTAATCTTTTGTTGTTTAGTATATACAAGTTAAATCATATAATAACTTGCATGTCATTTAGGTTACATCATGCTTGTGGTCATTTATTGTATAATCGTAGGTCTGTGTTGCATCAAGCCTATTGAATCATACTTAAGTTGATTATGTTAAATAACATGTATAGATTGAAACATTAAATTATTTATTTTAAGCAGCTTTGTCATATCTCGAAAAATGAGAATACGACCTCGCGAAACGTAATCGCACGCTCGTGTGATGAACTTAACAAAGTCGACACCGAAATTTATTTATTCCCATAGAGAAAAAGAGAAAATATCGAATAAAACCCCTAAAAGAAAGACAAGGATATGGTCATCGCAACCAATATCAGAGTTCAGGAGTCAATTACGCAAGGGAAATGTATTAACACCCCTTACGTCTGTTGTACTCAACAGGAACCATTTAGTTAGTTTTGATTGAATGTTAGGCTTAATGTTAGTTTGCAATCTTCTACTTATTTGAGAGAAAAGAGAGAGAAAAGAGAAATGTTTTTGAATTTTTATTAAAGAGAAAAGACCTAAAAAGGTTTTTATTATTAGGAGGCAAAAAAGGTAGGACCTAAAAATGTTTTTATTATTATGGGGCCTGATAAGATTTCACAATCCTGCTCTTACGTATCTCTGGGTGGAATAGAGAATTCAAGACACACGTCGTTCTAGGTAGAAAATGTTTGTTTGTTGGTCGATTTTAGCGAAAGCTATTTTGTATTAATCAATAGAAAACATTGTTTTATCCAAAATAGGCGAGGAGCAGGCGTTTGCATCATATTGAATGGATTTACGAATCAACA